AATAAAAATGATATAAAACTTAAAGGACTAAAATTAACAGTCAACCAAAATAATATTGGGAAAGTAGTTCCAGCTGCAACATGAGACATGTGGTTCGGAATGGGGCGGGAAGGAACGTCCAGTTCACATTCACACGTCACTTTGGTTCCTTTACCGATTTCTTTCCTTATAAAATAGTTTCAGTCAAATCATGGCTCCCAAGTTTCTTTAATAGGAGAAGAGAATCAGCCTCCCTCCTCCATTGTCAAACTAAACAACCCAACCCCATAATTTCCATGCTTTGTTTTTTTGCATGCGTTTAGATTTTTTCCTTGTTAGATAGGACGAACGATATCCGGTAATTCGTTTGTTCTGTATATAAATTGAAGTGATTGTCTTTCCATTCTAACATCTCATCTGTGAGACTCTAAGATTCTGCTCAATTTCTCAATTCTAGATGGAGGAAGCTAATGGTATGTTCTCTTTTCAATTTTCTGCATCTGTTATGGCTTGTGCTGGGATCGGATGTTCCCAGGGCGGTGGCCACTTCTAAAATTCTGATCTTTGTGGGTTTGGCTTTCTATTCTTGTTTGGCATTTCAATATTATGGGAGACTGTTTGTCTATTCCTTTGGATTCCAGCAAGTTCTCGTCTCCAAGATTCATGGGTCGTCTTCATTGTTAAATCATATTCTGTACCAAAGGATTATTCTTTCTTACCCCACCTAATCGGGTTGACATCTGAGACATTGTTTTCTCATATATTTTAGAAAGCTAATGGAAATGAATTGTTTATGACTTTTCAGTTGGACTTAGTCAAATGCTGAAATTTTATTACTTTTTGGTGTTTAGATCTGAATTTTGGCCATCCAAATATGAACATTTTGTTTAGAAAAGTTCTGTTTAATCTAATTGATCTTGAATTGTATCCTTGTTTTTCTTCTTCTATGATGCAGTGGTGGAAACCAAGGATGGAACTATATCAGTGGCTTCTGCATTTGCTGTTCATCAGGAAGGTACATGCCTATGCCCTAATCATCCATCTTGTCTTTTTCATTATTCTCAGTTTTCTATCATCTAAGGAGGGAGGATGTAATAGGTTAAAGCTGTACCTTTCTGCTGTTTGTTTTGTGTATATCTTTATCGTTGTTGCTCCAAACCAAACACAGAGGGAAAACACATACTCTGTAGCTTAGTTATAGTTGCTCTTATTATTAAATCTTAACTTTGTTTTGTGGATGATTAACCAGCTGTACAGGATAGAGATCATATATTCTTGAAAAAGGCTGTTGGGGAAGCATATAAAGGAGTAGAATGTGGAGATGGAGGCCCATTTGGTGCTGTTGTTGTGCGCAATGGTGAGGTAGTTGTGAGTTGTCACAATATGGTTTGGAAGAACACTGATCCTACTGCCCACGCAGAGGTTACAGCAGTAAGAGAGGTTAGACTGTAGTCAACTTCGTCCTGTGATTTCAACGAGTTTTCCTAATTATCTAAAGCCATTAAGTTTTTCTTCTTTTTTTTTTTTCTTTTTTTTTGAATTTTTAAATCTAGAAACCAAGCATTTTTACTAAGCATGTGCCTCAGATATGTTCCCTCAACCATCCACCTAAAGACGAGCCTTTGCTAAACAACATTAAGCATTTGTTATCTTCACTGCAATGTTTTTCTACTAGTTCAATCTCAGAACTAGGGAGAATTGCCAAAAACTGAGCCAGATTATGGCTTGTAGGATGGGCAACCAAGTCAACAGAGTAGTATGTGTGTGGCACAGAGAGTAACCAATGATGGAAGGTAGAAACCTGTAGCTAGCTACGATGTAATGTTTTCGCCCTAAATGGTCTATTGAACAAAAATTTTTAAACTTGATTTGAATGATTTTAGTATCTGACTCATACACAACCCTATCATATCCTCCAGAAATACTCCAAAACCAAGTTGAACTCCAGTGTCTTTTTTTGGATCTCTCAAATCATTCCTGCAGCATATGCTTGCCTTTTTTATGATCATTCAATGAAAGAATTCATTTAGGTCACAGGAAATAGGAGGTAGAACAAACAAATTGCATTGATTGTAGAATTGCATCTGTTAGTGACATAAAATTGGAGTATTGGACAATCAAACATCTACATTGACAGTCCTTTTTATTTGGAGCCACTGGAAGCACCCATTCTCTGCTCAAATTCTGTTCTTTTGACATGCTATTTATTTGTCCCTAAGTTTTGTTGCAAAGGTTAATAGATAAGCTGGTAGCTTGGAAGTGTTCGATGAAATGCTAATATAACTTAATCCATATTTTGCTGAAGCAGCTATTGCTATCAGGTTTGATGTCCCTAAATTATGTTTTTGGCGTCCCTGAGTTATGTTGTCCCTAATTGATTTTGCTGCTAGACCATAGTATGGTCAGTGATTGTTGGTTTTCTGAAATGCTAATATGACTTGATCCATATTTTTTGTGCATGTGTGTATGTTATGTGTTACCTCTGAACTTTTAGTTGTATGTGAAACCCTTAATGTGATTGTTGCATATGTCACTAGTGATCAAGCTTCTAAACATATATACTCACTTTTTTTATGATTTTTCTCGCTTTATTAGGCATGTAAAAAGCTCAACAAGATTGAACTTTCCGACTGTGAGATGTATGCCTCTTGTGAGCCTTGCCCCATGTGCTTTGGTGCTATCCATCTTTCAAGAATTAAGGTCAAACTGCTGTTTTCTTTTTCATCTTTATCCTCTTTTCTCCTAAATATATCTCCATGCATAACATGTTTGGTGCTTTTGTGCAAGCAGAGACTGATCTATGGAGCCAAGGCTGAAGCAGCCAATGCTATCGGGTTTGATGATGATTTTATTGCAGATGCATTAAGAGGTACTGCCTTCTACCAGAAAGCTAACTTGGAGATCAAAAAGGCAGATGGCAATGAGGCCATTATTGCAGAGGAGGTCTTTGAGAAAACAAAGGAAAAGTTTCATATTTACTGATTCCTCAGTTGTTCCTTGTAGGCTGTCTTACCAGTCATACCTATTGATAATTAGCTCCATTTTAATCAGCTGATTAATAACATCATATGCTTTGCATGGGATTGCTTATCAGTATTTACATGTTTGATCCCCTGGAATAAATGTAAGACTTTTCATGAATACTTGTATCATTTGAACATATTATCCCAGTAAACAGTTTGGTGGTGATGTTGCCATATTTCTGAATTCTTTCAATTTCATTGAACTCTACCAGCCTTTCTCTGCAATTTTATTGTGTTTTTGTAACATATATGCACGAGAAAGCTAAAAGAAACTCAGTAACATAGGAAAGGAGGAAAATCTACCATCATCATTGTGAATAATATATACATTTCTGCTTGTATTGTATCAATAGAGGGCCTTCCACAGGTGTAAGCCAGTGAGGCAGTAACAATGCAAAAGCCAAAGTTAAAAAGCAAAGAAATCCAACATCCACCTAATTGTGATCCATAATGCTCCAACCAAAGAAGCAATTCTCTAAGATGCAGGGGTTCATCCCAGAGCATCCCCATCTTCGCCAAACAAATTAGCTACGATAACTCCCACATCCTCCAAGCCAACCCCAATGCACAAAGGATTGTTAGCCACAGACCTAACAGAAACATCCATTCCCTCACTCTGAATCTCTTCAACAGGATTCAAGACCCTAACATTAGGACCATATCTGCACTTTCCCATACACTTGCACCCAACAACAGCTCCCTCAATACCTACTACCCTTCCAAACTCCTGAAGCAATGCTGCTCCTCCTGATTTCTTGCACTTATTACCCATGCACACTTCAATTCTCTTCGTCAATGCTCCTCTAACTGATCTACTACCTACATTACAATTAACACCACTCACATTACCGAATCCAGAAGTACTTGGTCCAGCAATGCAGCATTGGCCTTCATGATTTCGATGATTGTCATCTTTAAAACCATGCCCCTTAATAATGCTTGCTTCTTGGGCCTGTGAAATTGGGAGGGTTGATGTAATTGCTGCATCAATAACAGGTGTGGATTCATCCAGCATTGGCCGCACAATGGATTCTATGTCTCTTAGGCGAGTCATGTCAATAACCTCATTGCATTCACTGTCACTTGATTCAGATGATGATGAAGAGGAGGATTCACAGGCAACCATATTTTTCTTTCTTTCCTCTTTTAACTCTTCCTTCCCCTCTTTCCTTTTCCTCTTCAATTCCTTCTCCTCTGCTTTTAACTTTTCTAACTGTTTCAATAATACCTCTGTTGCCTCCTACAAAACAAAGCAAAAGAGAAGCTTCAACACATAAATTCCATATAACTTGCAAATAAATGTTTAATTTTGAATATGAACCCATGTTGCGAATCTCATAATTCTCTCTACTCTAAAAAAAACTCGCATATTACAACAAATATCAATTAATTCACACAAAAAAAAAATTTCTGAAAATTTGATAAGAAATGGAAGAAAAAGCAAAGCAAAATAAGCCAAGGAAAAGAGATATATACTTAATAATCTTGCCCTGATCATCACCAGACAAACTGCTCTCAGGATCCTCAACATACCCCAAATTCTCAAACATAGACAATTCTTTGGACAACCCTTTTAACATCTTCAACTTTTTCTTAATCTCCTTCTTGGCTACACACCTCGGCGACCCATTATAATAATACACAAAGTGCCCTTTGTCCCTAAACCCATTACTCTGCAATTTGACCTTCCTCAGGAAAAAGTTACAACCTTCAATGAAGAAGAGGAAGAACGGGTACGGGTATCCACTCCAGCGCCTGATACGCAGGCAATCTGCCGCAAAACGACGCCAGATGTCATCGTTCTTGCAGTGTATCAATCTGGAAAGAGAAGCTGTAGAACTAGAAACCTTTTCTTGAAGGATCCGTGACTCCTGGACTCTAACTTCCCAACCTGCTTTCCCGGAAGTTAGTTCAACCGATTTGCTTACGTGGAGCTTTTCTATTGGGTTTTGGTGACATGGCAGGCGCTACGTCGGATCATCGGACGGCTCGTGGCCGTCATCGGTTTGCCACACGTCTCAGCGTTCCCGGCATGCGTATGAATTCAATGCTAAGGATGAGATGGCGCCGCCGAGTCGTGACTACACGTAAACTGCCCCAGCAGGCAAAACGCGGATATTTTAGAAAAATAATTTATGGATAATTTTCTTATATTATTTTTAATATAATTTAAATAATTAATTATTATATTTACTTAAAACTAATAATATTATATATAT